CGCTTTAAAAATAATGACTTTGACCTTGAAGATAAAGAACGTTCTGGAGCACCGACAAAGTTTGAAGACGAAGAATTGGAGGCATTGCTTGATCTAGATCCATGTCAGACGCTAGTAGAGCTCGGGAAAACATTGCAAGTAGATGCGTCAACAGTTTCAAAACGTTTAAAAGCGTTAGGAATGATCCAAAAGCAAGGACATTGGGTGCCGTATGAGTTGAAGCCGAGAGACGTTGAACGACGTTTTCTCATGTGTGAATTGCTGCTTCAACGGCATAAAAGAAAAGGTTTTCTGCACCGTATCATCACTGGAGATGAAAAGTGGATACACTACGATAATCCTAAGCGTAGAAAATCGTGGGGTAAGCCCGGCCATGCATCAACATCGTCGGCAAAGCCGAATATCCATGGTTCGAAACTTCTGCTCTGCATTTGGTGGGATCAGCAGGGCGTAATTTATTATGAGCTGCTTGAACCTAATGAAACTATCACGGGAGCTCGCTATCGACTTCAGATGATGCGTTTGAGTCGAGCTCTAAAAGAAAAGCGGCCACTATACGGGCAGAGACACGACAAAGTCATTTTGTTACATGACAATGCTCGGCCACATGTGGCAAAACCAGTCAAAACTTACCTGGAAACGCTTCAATGGGAAGTTCTACCTCACCCGCCGTATTCACCGGACATAGCCCCCTCGGATTACCACTTGTTTTGGTCGATGGCGCATGGTTTGAGCGAGCAGCGCTTCCATTCTTTCGAAGAAACCGAAAAATGGGTCGATTCATGGATTGCGTCAAAAGATGAATCGTTTTTTCGACGGGGGATTCAATTACTGCCAGAAAGATGGGAGAAAGTGGTCTCTAATGATGGACAATACTTTGAGTAAAGTTATTGTAAGCCTTATATTTTAAATTAATGTTTTTTTTAACAAAAAAAACAGCGAGAACTTATTCAAGGTCCTAATAATATGTATTGTATTAATAAAATACTCTAGCTATTTTAGAAAATAAAATTTTAATACAACAAAATTAATCCTTATTTTAAATAACGCTGACGAGTTTACAAAACCAAAATACAAAAGATATAATTTCTACAATAATATCTTCTTTGTCAAAACTAAAATATAATACACAGAAACATAGAATGTACAATATTTTAAATGTGTTAAGTGTTTAAAACTTGTCGATACTCGAACCACTATTTTACATACACGAACATTTCCAAAAGTGTACAAAAGTTCAAATGTACAACAGAATAGCCGTGGTGAGTGACGCGCAAAGTTGGCTGCGCAATTTCGATTTCCCTTTACCGTCGTTGTTTGCTTCCGACATTGCGAGTATTAAACGGATCGTACTCCGTGCGATATCGTACTTTTCCGAGTTATTCTTTCGTCACAGTAGGGCCGTGCAATTATCCCCAATGATTATTGCTCGCGTGATCATAATTACATTTTCGCAAATGAGTATCATGAAGCAGCAATTATCGATGGATTATTAAGAGAAGGAAGTCCGTAAAATATTAACTCGCATCAGCGGAACAACTTTAAACCAATTTATCATTTATTTATTATTTGTACTGCTCAAAAATTTCAACGAAATATTTGTTCTCTGCTTCTAGTGCGTGCTATTTTTGCTTTACTATCTAAATTGCTCGAACCTTCAGACATTACATATTAACATTATAAATCGACCATTGCTTATGTCCAAGATATTCGAACTCGACGCTCGTTTTTTATTTTTTTCGATTTGTTTAAACAGTTCGTACATATAAAATATTAAAATTTTTTATCTGAGCTCTATTTTAAATTCTGATATATCTTGAATTTACTTAATTCATTTATTAACTAATATTCATTTCGTTAACATTTTCGGCAAAATTCGGCGAGTTGAATCTAACAAAAAATCTGTTTCGAGAGCAGTAAAAAAATTCTGAAACCTTCTAGCTAAAGTGCAATTAAAATTTTTTCGTTTTTGCTATCTAGGAAAAATTATGGCACCGCCGTGGAAAAACGTAGAAGCCAAGCATTCAGGTCTGAACTGTGGAGTAAATCGTTAAAATTTCAGATAGCTAATCGCGGATGGTGGTCATCTTATTGATTACACGAGCCAGTAACTCGCACGTGGCGTGAAAAGTAACGGGAATATTTGTACGAGAGATGGGCCGGAAAGAACCTGAAGATATATTTAATTATTTCTAAAGATGGAAAATGGGTTACGCGGAAATAGACAGCGGGACGCGCAGGAAGCGCACGAGAAGGTTAAAACTGGCAGAACGTGGCCCCGCTGATAGTCCTGTCGGCCAATAAGCTTTTACGCTAGATTAAAATTCATAACGGCGCGAGTTTCCAGTAGCGACTAGTTACAGCATGCCATCCAAGAGCATCACACCGCTTATGCACGAGCGAAGAGTTTACGACCGTCCCATTACAATTTTCGCGTCACGTATGTGCCGTTAAAGTACAAACAATATATCATTTTCACTGTTTCATATACAAATTTTTACGTTATAATAATTAATAATTTTAGTATATAAAAGATATGCATAGCTTACATAAAACAACTCTCTATTAAGCTGTAATCCCTCCACCATTACTAAAAAAAGTTCACATTTTTTGCGATAAACTACTTACCACAATGTTGCACCGACGTCGCCCGATGCCGCTTGAGCTTCCTGCTTCTTCATAGCACTCACACGCGTTCGCGATCATGCTCGCATTGCACGCGAGCGCACCCGCACACGAAAATCGCGCGATACTTAAACGGTATTCCCGGACGTCGCAGGCGAATTGAATCGAATAGTTTAAACAGCGACGTTATTCGCGAATTCCGCTCGCGTTTCGGACGATCGAACTTGGCAAATTGGGACACGGATATCTCGCAACAGAGAGTAAGTACGAAGAAAACAAGGTAGGATCAATCGTGGGGTCATCGGAATATCGGGTGACCCAGCAGCATCTTCGTGTCGATGCCAGCGGAACTTGAGTCAGCGACGACTTGTAGCCGCGAATCATATGACCACCTTGACGTGACATCATGCATTACACATGAATCATATGTTCTAACACGATTTCATAACTAAAGGGGGCCCATTCGCGATGCTTTAAAATAATCGCCGATTCTTCCCCCCTCCGGACCGAACCCTTTGACGGAGATACCATCGTGTCCCAGAGTTTGCATCCATCGGAAATCCGATCGTCTATACAATTCGCTAGAATTCGTCGTTTCGAACTCGCGCGAAACTCTTACGACACTCCCGCATTTTATTACATTGCGACGGAACGAAATTATGATGAGACAAGTATGACGATTCACGTAGCATTGAGGATTCATAGCTCGGAAGTTTATCTGTAAAACAAATACATTTACATTGTAACAGCGTTCAAAACAGAATTACGGGAAATAATAATATTATATTACTATACTGTAATTTATTGCTAATTTTACCTATCAAAATCGAGATACGGAACTGTGTAATTCTAAATAATAATTATCGTATCGTATCTTTAAATAAAAAATATAAATTTGCTGCAAAAATGTAAATAAAATTGTGCAGTATCCTGTATCAAAAGAGTTAATAATTAAAAACATTTATTTATAAAGACTTGATATCCGATCACGAAAAACGACGAAACGATCGCCGACGGACACTTCCTGCCTCGGTTTTCCTGCAAGAGTCGAGATCCGCATATCGTTTCTTCCGCGGGACGATCCATCGAGCTTTTCATCCTCGTCCATAAATCACTGTCACTAGGTTTGAGCGAAACGTATTTTCCCGTGGAAACGGCATTTTTGAATTCGATTCGGTCGTAGCGACGGGCAAATAGACGAGGTACGTACAAGACGGGCAAAAAGTAGAAAGAGTCCGACGCTCCAGAAAGGCGAATCGATGTTACGGTAACCGCGTTGTCGTTGTTCGGATAGCGGATTTTTACGAGGGCCGCGCGCGTGCATACATTTTTTACAACGGATTTCGCCCGCATAAATTCGCCACCAGGTATCTCGCCGCAGCGAAAAGTATTCGCGTGTGCGCGAGAACGCAGACACGGCGCACGCTCTGCCGGATCCGATACCAATCCCGTCCGACAGAGAGACGACGGACAGAATGGGAAATTTTACGAATTGGAACAACGTTCGTGACCGTGGTCAGCCAACAACTCTCTACAACGACAGCAGCCCGGGTCCTCGGACCGTCACGTTTCGACGGGCTACATCCGCGACGAGTGGTCCGCGACAGGTCAATATTTTCGACGATGTACAACTCGCCCAAAGCTCGATTATTTATTTGTTACGTCGTAACAATTTCCGCGAACAAAATACACATCTCGAATACACGTCGAGTGATTTGCAGCCGCTTGCATAATTTCGCTCACTCGATTATCATCCCTTCCTCACGTTTTGACGGTCGAAACATCGCATAAATCGAAAACCTGGAAAGTTCTACATTATTCTACGTTCAACAATATCGTAAAACTACGGCGCAATCCAGTTATATTAGATATTATATCCCCTTCACAAACACGGTTCTCGTTTGTTCCTTCCTTTTTTAATCATAAATGAAACAAATTATACGCTAAACAAAGTTCCGCATCTCTAATAACTTCTAGATAAAACGCTCAAGCAGCACTTTACGGAGTCCCAGGAGGCTTATAAACGGACTTTTACTGAGCTTATAACGCGAGCTTAAAACAACTACATAAATTGCAGACGTAATACGTAAGAGAAATATTTCTAGGCTTGCCGAGAAAGTTGTTGGATATTCTCGAAGAAATTTGCGCTGCAAAAATGCCCGACCAACGTGTTGTTCCAGGCGAACATTGTCACGGCAAAATCGGATTTCGTATCGGTAATCGCGTCGGACACTATATTTCCAAAAACATACAGCCATTCCGGAACAAAAGTGAAGTATAATTATCAGGGATCGCGTGCGTATACAAATCGTTCTCGATACGCACGCGATTGTCGCGCGTTTACAGCCAGCTTATAATGATGGACATACTCGATTTGGAAATTTCCGAGATTGAAATAACGGCCGCTCTCTGAATGCGGTCGGCCGATGTGTACAGTATACAGCTGTATAACTGCCAGTTTCAGTCGGGACACGACGCGCCATGAATAAGTCTCTAACCGCTCTTGTTGGCCCGACATTGTCAGCGAGCAGCTTTCGACAGCTCGCCCTCCTCCTCCTCCTACCCGCGGACTGTTGTCACCGGGTCGGTCTTCTACGAGCCCTCGTTATGACGCTTGTAATGATAATGTCAAAAATCAGTCTAACCCCCTTTTACCTTCCACCCGTTCACCCGTTAATAGCGCGATTTCAATATGTTTCAATGTATTTCTTCGCGAGAAATATCGACTACGCTCGTTCGTGTAACAATTCCAGCAGATAAATTGCAGACGGCTGCGAAAAGCGAAAGGCTCGATGCTTCCCGAACGTGCAGAATATCTCGGCAAACCTATAGTGAAGTGATACGTGACTTTTTTATAATATCTTTCTTTTTGTAAAGATAAAAAATTTATAATTTTATTATAAATAATTTTTTTAATTGAAGTATTTTTGTGCAAGAGAGGTACATTCTTTTCCGCGCCAACATTAAACTCGAATATTTCGGTCTCGTAGCACATTTCCACCCTCGGCTTATAAGTGAGGATTGCATGAAGCAGGAGAGCAGAGTCGCGCTTTCCCGACATGCCTCTCTCAGCGGTAAAGTAAGTTCGCCGCAGTCGCCCGGCGTACTGGTAATTAAAGTAATGAAGGATAAACCGCCTGAAGTAACTCGTGTAATTTATCCGTGACTGCTTCCTGACTAGCTCATTATTGTACTTTGACCTTCTCTTCCGCGTGAATGCATTTCTCATCTGCCTTCCTGATATGCGGAACGTACGTTTCATTTTTACAGCGATGATAGTCTGCAAATAATTGTTCCAGGAGAAACGCTTGGAAAGCATTAAGTAATTTTCATATCACTGTGAAAATGTGGAAACTTCATTTATTCTGAAAAATGCAAACATTTATTCGAGGCAGGAATCTGTGTAGAAAAATTGTTCAAATAATATTTGCTCAATAATAAAAACTAAAATTTGATTCAGTTTAACTATTCACAGATTCTACTCTTTTATGAGAAAGAGATACATATTCTTTATCTCGGATCACGCTCAAAATATTGTAATGAAAAGTGCATCATTAATCTCAAACAGACACATATTAATTAACTTTTTTAATTCGTGCTGCATGCATAATAGAGCTTTTCAGCGTCCGTCATCAAGGCCATACACACTGAATAATGCAAATAGACGAAAATATAATTCACCACGCTCCGATGTAATAGATAAGAATTGCCGCAAAGAATTGCACGCTGTAAAATTACCGCGGTAATATGGAATACGCAAAGTACGAGGGTGGACCCATAAAAGTTTCAAGCAGTTTTCTAATTTAAATTCCCGGAGCTTTCTGCTTCATTAAAGCTCTATCTTATCGAGCGGAAATATTCATGTAAATTGTGGTCTTAGGCGCACCGTACGTTCACAAGCTGGCGCTCCGCAGGACGGACATTATTTCCATATCGACTTTTATGGCCCGCCCGGCAACGAAAATTTATCGCGGCGAGTGCAGTGTTTTAAAACAATATTTTCGGGGATGAAGGAAGACGAAATTATTTTCGCCCCGTATCTCTCTCGCCAAACGCGGCTCTAAGTCAACGCATTGACAAGTTTCCAACGCAAGTTTGACCGTTAAAATATTTATGTATTAAGTTAAAGCAAACAATTTGCTCTTTCCTTGATTACATTAGTAAAACAAAAAATAATGAAGAAACTTTTGGACAAATAATTACTCGATGAAAAAAAAGAAGAAAGAAAACTGTCATTTTATCGCTGAAATATTTCTACAGATATGTACTTCTCCCGAGAAAAGCTCCCTTTGAATATCTCCTTCGATCTGAGATTCCTAAATTTCCATGTCTAGAAAGGAGACGTAGTTCGGTCTATTGCGATTCCACCCTAATCGATCACGTCGCAGTCTCATCTGCGAATCTCAATAAGGTCTCATCATAAATTCTCTGCCTCAGGACACCAACGGGCCTGGAGGACGTCAGCAAGTATCCAGAGCTCTTCGCAGAATTGCTAGCGCGTGGCTGGTCGGAGAGAGACATCCAGAAGCTGGCTGGCTTGAATCTTATACGGGTGTTCAAGGCGGTAGAACAGGTAAATTATACCACGTCGGAAAGAGGAAAAAAAGCGAAATGACCCTCTTTCCAACTTATCTCGATGAAAAAAGCGGACGTGTGTCGAAAGTGAAAAAGTCGCTTCGACGAGTGACAGAGGGAGAAAGAGAGAGAGAGAGAGAGAGAGAGAGAGGAGGAGAGAGCGTCGTTCCGTTAC